CCCGGGCGCGCGCCGGGAATGGGTGGTCGCAGCAGGGGCGCGGGGGACGACATGTTGGGCTGTGGGTGTGGCGAAGGCCCGTTGTTGAACGACTGCATCTACGTTGGCTCCTCCCGCAGAGTCTGAACCGATGCTGGCCCCGGAGATAACGAGGGGAAGTGAGTGGTGTTGAGGTGGCACGTCAATCGTCTTCGGTCCCAACAGGGTGGGTCGCTGCCGTAAGCCGAATCAACGAGGCGGTCTTTCGCGCGGTCGACGTCTCAGGGGGAGAAATACGAGGAGGTGAGGTGCGGTGGAGTGTGAGGCCGCTCGGGTTTAGGCACGAGTGACGTTGGGCCACGAGTCACAGGCAGGTGCGGCTTGACAGGCGGCAGGCGCGACTCGGTGGAGTGGGGAGGGCTCCGTTAGGGGGCGGGTTTCGGGGGGCTAAGAGATAGCTCTTCCAAGATCAGGCGGACGACGGGCGGCCAGAGTGACAAAGGCAGCGGGTCTTTAGGTTTCAAGACCTCAGCGTGCTGGAGGGGCTCAGGACGGTGGTGGAGAGCGGCTAGGCGCGTGCGCGCAAGGCTTGCCGACAAGGGGACTAGGCCGCTGTCCAGCGGTTCCAAACAGCCTTGACACCTCCAACCTTCATTTGACGCGTGGACTAATAATAAGGAATTACCGACGTGTAGCCAATGACGAACGGCCTGAGTTTGGTCGAAGGTCGGCAACAGCGTGTGTGCAAGGAGTGCGGCCAGAGTGTTGCGGCGTGGACGATGATCCCATGCCCGTACCTTGAGGTCGGAATGATGCCACGAGATAGGATGCGAGGCGGGTTGTTGAGTGTTTCCGCAAGCGCTGAGGTTGCTCTTTTTATCACTGGCTCCAAGCTATGTTTCATCTCCTACTCCCAATGTGAAGGGTCCCTATTTGGGCGGCCTAGTCTATGCGCTGGTTGGTGTCTGCGTCTACATTGCCGCCGGTGACTGCTCGACTGACGTTGGCTCACATGCGAGTACAGCTCCAACCGCAGCGGGATCCCTTGGAATCGATAGTTTCTCGAGGTAACAACAACTCTCCTAGGGCTTATTCTGATGACGGGGATAGTATGCAGGCTCGAATACATCCTTCGACTCGCCATCCTTGTGCGCACGCGAGAGAAAGCCCTAAGGGTCTACCCCTCCACCCAATTGAACATGTCAACGGCATTTGGCGGTGCAGCTTGGCTGACGTTAGACTCTGCCACTGGCTCAAGAACTACAAGCAACTTGCGATCGGAGCTAGAGACTTGTAGAACCGCCACCAACTTCGTGCCTGGTGCATTGTGGTCTGTACTGAAGATGCCGTCCACGCAATCCAGCACCCATCGTGCGTTTGCAGCAAACATGCCGTTGATACCTGACAATCTGCTCATCTTAAACACCATCACCATCATCTGTTTCAAGAACCGCCGCATCACCCCATCTTCGGAACAGTGCCATCTCAACACGGGTGCCGGCGCTTGTGTTGGCTATCGACGCCAATGGAGCTATCCGCAATTGCATGAAGCTCTAGTGGGGCCCACAAGAGGAGCGACCAGCAGAGCCCCCCGGGGCCGCTGCATGGAGACCTATGTATAGCAACATCACCATTCCGACTAAACATAAGTTGTAAGTTCGTCAAAACTTCACCAAACTACTCGTCTCGAGTCAGTAGGCTGTGCAGAAGGTAAGAATAGGTCTTTCGATATAGCTATTGCATATCAGCTGCAGCTCGTCGAGTTCACGAGCTGTCGGCATACCTTCCGTTACGCAGCCTTTCCTCAAGGTAGTAACAAGCAAACTGTATTAGCACAGAAGCAAAAATACCCGGCTGTCTCTGTGTGGAGTACGTTCACGGAACACTTAGTGTCATTGATTGTTGCAATAGTGCTCGTTCACAGAGGTGCCTAGATGGATTGGCTGGGCCTCGGCAACGCGCCAGCTTTGGGCAGGTTCTATCCACCCAAGCGCGACCTTGGAAACAAACGCACCTGCATCATCATCTCCACCCACTGTCGACGGACACCGAACAGCGATGGTGTGACTGGGTGGTACCCTACAAAGAGCCCGACAATTTCGTGAGCGTTGTCGACGCAGGAAAAGTACATTCTCAGGCGAGCCCAGTTCGTGGCGCGTCCTGGCGCCCGCCGCGGCAATGCTTCTACTACCGAAACCGCCTATAGGCTTTGTACATCTATACCGAGCATGCGCAAACTCTCGTGGCAATAGTAACATCACAGTGGACCAAATACGATACATAACAGTAATCAGCTTAGCCTTCTATTCACTCTGAGGCTTATGGCCGTACGCCTCCTTGGTACACAATACTTGCGATGCCTCTCATCTGTGAGTGTCTCATCGTCGTTCAGGTTGCGGGAGTGCTGGGTAGCTCCTCCACTCTGCGTCATCGTAGTACCCTTGAGCGTATGCCTCCTTACTCCCAGCCTCAGTCTCATCCTGGAAGCTCAGACTCGAAAGCATCATGTACGCATCATCGACCTTGAAAAAGAACTTGTCCAGTTTGTAATCGTTCTCGTCGTCTGCGAACACGAACAGCAACCCTCCAGGTTCTTTCCAGTCCTTTCGAACCACGACGATGAACGCAGTCGGCCACCACTGTAATTCATCCGTTTCGTTGCCTGCCCCTTTGTCCAAGGCTATGTGAGCCTGTAAGACTTCTTGGAGTGTCTTAAGCTCTGATGTGGAAGGGGCAGGTCGAACGAGATGATCCTCGTTGCCCTGCTCTAACCACTGCTTCTCAAGAGTCGAGGCGACATCTTGAAGTGATACCCCGTCGACAAAGGTGTAGACAGCAAACGCGGCGCGATTCCAGTTGAAGTCGTCGCATTGACCGAGCTCCGGGGCCTGAGGTGGTAGGGATAGGTCGGGTGCCATCAATGCGATTAAACAGTATTGATGGGAAGATGCCTAGTAACCTTATCAACGCCGAGCCGCTCCTAGTGTTACATCAAACTGACCGAATATATCCGACGTGTGGTCCCTGCGATAGGTATGCACGTTCGGAAGGTCGCTGCCTGCAGTACCCGCAGCGAGCTGGGCCTGAGATAGCAGGGTGGGGCATTAGCCGATGCCGGTGCTCATGCTACAACGGCTATCTATTGACATCGGCGTTTGAGTACCGCGTCAGCTTTAGACTAACACATCCAAGCAGTTCAGAGCACTGGTATCACTTGACATAGTGAGCATACGATTTACAGTTCACAGGTGTGTCGAAAGACTTGGCTTGGCCTCGCATACTGACAACTTGCTAGCAATTCACACAGCATCTTTCGCAATGGCGAGACCGGAAGTAAAAATTACACAGGGTACTCTCATAGGTACGACCTTGCAGGGCGACTATCCACGGGCCGTTGAGGCCTTCAGAGGAGTCCCCTATGCTTTACCGCCAACAGGTGAACGCCGATTCCGACCACCACAAAAGGTAGCACCTAGTCAAGACACTATAGATGCTTCAAACTTCGGCCCAAGAGCTCCAGCACAGCAGCTCATGATAGTTGGACCGAAATTAGAGGAGAGTGAAGACTGCCTCACAGTGAACGTCTTCCGGCAAGCTCAACCCGAGAAAGCGACCGCTCTGCCAGTTGCAGTCTACCTTCATGGGGGAGCCTTCAATCGCGGAAATGCTGCGATGCACGATACGGCGTCTATGGTTGGATGGTCTGAGTCGCCTTTCATCGCAGTATCGTTCGGTTATCGCATAGGAGCGTTGGGATTCCTGCCCTCAAAGCTGAGCGCTGCAGAAGGCGCACTCAACTTGGGCTTGAAGGATCAGATTTGCTTACTTGACTGGGTGGAAGAGAACATCGAGCACTTTGGTGGCGACAAGAACAACGTAACGCTCATAGGGCTCTCGGCCGGCGCGCATTCGGTATGTTTGAGCCGCTGGATACCCTGATCAAATTTACTGACGTTCGTCTAGATAGGGCATCATCTTTTGAACTATGAGGAGGGTGTAAAGCCCAAGTTTCATCGGGTCATCATTGAGTCAGGCGCTCCGACATCCCGCGCTGTCCGCAACCCTGATGCAGGGATCCACGAGATGCAGTTCAAAGACTTTCTAAAAGAAGTTGAATGTCCTTCAAGCCTACCCGAATCCGAAGTCTTCAGTTACCTTCGCAAACTTCCCACCACCACAATCGCCAAGGCCCAGACTAAGGTATTCCAAAAGTACAACCCCAGTCTGCGATGGGCCTTCCAGCCCGTAATTGACAACGAAATCATCCGTCGCCGTCCAATTGACGCGTGGCGAACGAGCAAATGGCACAAAATGCCAATAATGACCGGCTTCCAGGGCAACGAAGGGTCGTTATACGTCAATAAGAAGATGTCAACTTCCTCTGAATTTCTGGACTTCTGGAAGACTTTGCTGCCGCAGATGAGCGATGAAGATATCCAAACGATACACAAGTTGTACCCCGACCCAACCGAAGTACCTGAGTCTATCTACAAAGAAACGCGGCTCGAGCACGGTGTTGGCCCTATGTACAAGCGTATCGAAGCGGCTTACGCGCACTACGCATATGTTGCTCCAGTCCGCCAAACGGCATTCTTCGCCAGCCAAGATGCACCTGTCTATCTCTACCACTGGGCGATGAGACGCGATATCGTTGATGGAGCTCGTCACGCGGACAACATGTTTTATGAAATGAGGGACCCGAAGTTCATTGCCAAGTCCAAGAGTCAAGATGAGCTGTCGGGTATGCTGCACGCGTATATCACGAGCTTTATTTGTACTGGCACTCCAAATGCGCTGGATGGTAAGTATGCGAACAGAACGGAGTGGAAAAGCTATGATAGAGCGGATCCGAAGGTGATGATCTTTGGGAGGGATAACGAGGAGTTGATCGGTGGGCAGACCATTGGTGAGCCGGCTATCATGGTTGACGACACGTATGCGAAGGAGGAGAGTGATTTTTGGTGGTCCAAGGTAGAGTTGTCTCAGCAGTAGTTTTGATCTTTCCGCTACTACCATCTACATCATAGCTTAGCCTGCAGCCCAATCTCACCAACAAGACTCACAACCTCCTCCGCACACCCAAACGATCCCTGATACCCCCACCCCGCATGCCCATAGTTATGCACAACCCAAACCCCGTCAATTCTCTCCTTCTCAAGCCTAACGCCAGCCTCTCTCCCCGGCCTCAGTCCAACACCATGCCGGATAACATCAAGGTGCTCTGGCCCTTTCCCATCCGTCAGCTCAGGCAACAAAGTAACCGCCCTCTTCATAATCCGACTAGTGATATTGGGATCGGGCTGACTCTCCCAGTTCCCGCTTTGCATGGTACCGCCTAGAACTGTTCCGCCGCCAACTGCTCGCGTCATCATATAGCAAGCCTCGTCTTCGCTGTCGTCCGTGCCGGACACGAACACCATAGCTGGTGCTAAGTTTCTCACTACCACGACCTGGCCCCGAATCGGGTAGCAAGTCTTGTCCTCTACACCTCCTAGTTTCCCGGCTGAGAGCCCAGTCGCGTTGACGATGATGTCTGGCTTGAAGTTTCCGATCCAAGGAGACCGCAGATCAGATATATGGGATACAGTTTTCCGATAGAATTCCACTCCGTTTGCGCGGCATTGGCCTACGAGCCATGGGAGGTAGAGGGCGGGGTTGATGCACACAGAGCCGAATTCAGATCCTGATGCCATTCCTGATGGCAACTCGGAGGAGGAGAGATTGCGATAGTCGTCGACTAGGTCGCGCCACCAGGGGTTCTCGGTAAAGACGTTGTTGAAGGATGTGGCGCCGCCGCTTTGCAGCTTCTTCATGTCTTGCTTTCGGCGGTAGATGCGGCATTCTGGTTTTGCTTAATGGCGTTGTTGTATTTTGAGTGTGATATAGATTGCTTACTTTGCAGATGTATACCGGCCTCTGGTACTTCTGTTGCTAGCCTTTTTAGTTGCGGCCATGTTCTACGTTCATAGCGACTTTGTGGTTCTGAAGACATTCTGCACCACATACATCAGCTGATTGTGTACCCAGTTGTTCGCGTCTACTTACGGCATGAAGTTCGCGCCAGCCCATGGAGATGCATACTCGATGTCGGAGTCGCCGGGCATGTGCTTGGCTACGACCGCAATTCTGTTACTTGGGTCTTTGGACAGAAGATATGCTGAGGTCAGCCCGGAGACGCCTGCTCTTTACACCAAGAAGCGTTAGTATGACCGAGCTGACAGCTGTCAAGAAATGGAACGAAGCGTACCCGATTACGATGATGTTAGGCATCTTCTAGTTGCAATATCTCCAGCTTTCAGTGAATGCTCCAAAGGCGGAGATCTTCTTCTCAGGTTTCAAGAAGAACGGCACGCTTCCTTGGGGCGCACAAGCATTCACTAGGCTCGCCTGGCTTAAGTAGTCGGGTCGGATATGCAGCATCGATGCCAAGCCCGAGCCGCGAGTTCTCCGCCGGGGAACTCAACGCTACCGACAGTTGTTGGCTGAAGGCTTGAGCGTGTTCGCCATTCCGGTGATCGCATTGAATGGAAGGAGAAGTGTGATTTCTTCGAGGTTCGCGGTGTCCACGTTATCGATAAGATAGTGCCGCCCGATTGGGTAAAGACCTCGGCTGCAGCTGCACCGTCCACCGAATCCTCCTGTCCTCACTTGCTTTCGCGCCATGTTCACAAACCTCACGGACATCGAACAACGAAAGTTGGGGGAAGCGTATCTGCGTCCGAAATACATCCATGTTCTAGGAGAAATTCATTTCCAGACTGCGATGAATGACTAGACGTGGGCTTTCGTGCAGTCTGCAGAAAGACTCGGCATCCCCCCTCAGGCTCGAACCTGGAAGTCGAAGTCTCGTCACTCGGTTTTAACGAAGCCTTCCTATAACCTGTGCCAATTACATCCAAATGATTCAAGCACGTAGGTACCTAGTCGCAGCGACGTATCGCTCATTGTTGTGCTCGGTATCAGCATTGTCGACGCCGTCTTCGGAGCTCACGCACAATCGATGCAGGTATGGCGGAGCCGCTAACGGGTACTGGTGGTCACTAGGATGCGACCCCAGCTTGCGACCACCACTTTACGAATGCCGCGGGGCGCTACCGGTATCTGACATCTGCCATGCGACTCCCTTATCACTGCCGAAGTATTGCCGTCGGGCGATGGCATGTTCACAAATCTGCTGCATCCTCTCGAGGTCACTTACCAGGGCGGGGATCCACTTCTTCAATCCTTATCCAGGTTTGCTTTCAGCTTGCAGGCGAATACTGGCCCACTCTGATAACAAGGTAGCAACGAGTCCCGGATATGTCCTCTGGGCAATGCGATCGGCCGCCTGTCTTCCGCTATCACGCGTTCTTATCGAATCCTACATGGGTTCCGTTCATTTGCATTGAATGATCGATGTCGCGGGGTAGTTCGACGCGGGTATCTCATCCGAAGTTATGTTAAAGCTCAACTGCAAGCATCCTCGTATGGCTGCTCTGGTCCCCGACGCATAGATCACTCACTTTCTTGATTGTCGACCCTCGTTTTCAGCCATGTCGACGGAGCCGAATACCACGAAATGCGACGACAAAACACCGACCATGTCAAAAGACATGGAGGTTCAGCTCAGCAGTATGGACGCGAACTCCCTTCACAAGCAAGAAAGCGCTATTGTGGGTGAAGTTGAAGACCTCGACGAAGCAAACCTGTTCTTAAGGCAACATAATATCACACCGGAGTACATGGCTGAGCTCCTTGAAGACGACATAGCCAACAAGCGCGTTTCCAGGAAAGTCGACCTGTTGCTGTTACCACTACTATGTGGAACCTACTTCCTCCAGTACATCGACAAGCAAGCAATGGGCTACTCCGCCGTCTTCGATCTTTTCGAGACCACTGGCATCACCGGTGATCAGTACTCCTGGCTGGCGTCGATCTTCTACTTTGCCTACTTGCTCGCTGAATGGCCATCAGCATACCTTGCGCAGCACTTTCCAACCGGCCGAGTGGTGTCGCTCTTCTGCTTCTGTTGGGGCTCCATTATGCTACTTACAGCTGCTACGCACAACTTCGCGGGCTTCGCTGTCATGCGCTTCCTCTTGGGTGTCTTCGAGAGTGTTGTGACGCCCGCGTTTATGATGGTGAGTCTTGCTCTTCAGGTCACATGCCGTACAACACTGACGTTTTTTCTTTACTGTTGCAGATCGTCGGAATGTGGTACGTAGGAAAACAACAACCCGCAAGGGCGGGTACGTTCTACTGCTTCAACGGCCTCGGTAGTGCCGTCGGTGGCATCCTCTTCTACGGCGCCGGATATGCGAAGAGCTTCGTCGTCTGGAAGATCATATACATCATCTGTGGAGGTATGACCGTCTTATGGTCTGTAGTCCTCTTCTTCAGGTTGCCGAACAACATCATGACAGCCAAGAGCTTTTCTGTCGAAGAGAAGGCTCTCCTGATCGCGCGCGCCGCCAGCAATCGCACCGGAGTGTACAACCGCAAGATCAAGCTACCTCAGGTCTGGGAAGCCTTGACGGACCCGCAAATCTGGATACTCTTTCTGTTTGTCACGCTCAATGAGATGATCAACGGTGGCACTGCGAACTTCGGCAAGCTCATTGTCAAGGACGCAGCGGGGGGTGATCCGCTCAAGACAACACTGTATGGCATCCCGCAGGGCTTCGCTCAAGTGTTCTGGGTTTTCACAGGCCCTTTTCTCGCCTCTCGACTGCCGAACGCGCGCACATACATTATGGCTCTTTACCTCTGTCCAACGATCGTCGGCGCATGTCTGATCTGGCAACTTCCACGCACTAATCTGGCTGGGTGTTTGGCGGGTTATTACATGGTTCGTCTTCACCATTTGTCGCTCTGCGGAGACGTTTCTAACAAAGGCAGATTGGCGCCTTCGTTGGCTCTTTGGTAATTGCGCTTCAATTTCCGGCATCAAATGTAGGCGGCTACACCAAGCGTACTACTAGCACAGCTTTCGTCTTTCTGGGTTACTGTGTTGGTAACATCATCGGTAAGCCTCGCCACACCGTCAAACCCTATCTTAGAACCGCGGTTACTAACATCACCTACTTCAGGACCACAAGCCTTCCTGGCGAAGGAAGCGCCAAAATACGAGACCGGTGTGAAGATGATCTTGGGATGCGCAGTCTCTCAAGTTGTGCTAGCGCTTTGCCTGCGAGCCCTGCTCTTACGGCGGAACGCCCAACGCGATCGCGAAGAAGCGGAGAGTTCACACGCTCAAGGCATCAATTCGAGCGATGTGGATTCCATTGAGGATACTACCGACTTCCACAACAGGAAGTTTCGGTATAGTGTATAAATTTGGTGTCGGCATTGGACACCCCGTCATAAGGCTGCCATGGTCAGCGTCTTATCACATCCGATCGAGCAACGAGCATATTTGCCTACCTATTGTATCATTCATGTTTCACTCTGAGCCTCATCGCCTCCTTCCCTCGCTTTCATCTCTTCTTTTTGCCTCTCCTTGACCTTCTTCGGTTTCTTCGCGCTAACCGGCCCATCGGCACTTCTATCCTTCCACTACCCACGACCTCACATTAGCCGCCTCTCTTTCTCCCAGAACCTTTCAGCAACTCACCATGCCCCCATACCGGTAATGTGGATATTCATCTTGCATCCCTTTCGCGTCCTCAACGCCACCAGAGACCGATTTCCAGCATGCACCAGGGCAGACGAAATGCCATTTTTGCGATTCGTCGATCTGGCAGCGCACGAGGACGTCGCGTGGCTTGGAACAGAGAGTGCAGGATTTTGTCATCGCATGAGAGTAAGTATCGAAGCTGAGAGTTGATGGTTCAAACATTGAAGACGAATGTGACGACTAATCACGAGTGGAGAGAAATGATGACATCATGTATTTCTCCCCTGCGCCAGCACAGACGCGCGCTCACCACGCTCCGACGTCTCCCCAGATCTTCCCTCCCAGACTCTTCTTCGGCCCCCATGTAGTTGTTACCCCATCTCTTCGTTGTCAGAGCCCGGCCGATATATCATTCATAAGCAGCACGCCCATAATCGATGATTGAGTGGCCTAGACCTCTGCTAGAACCGAATTTTAATGTAATCGCATCTGGCATCAGCAACCCCATGGCCAGCTTACGCATGGTCCAACACACGCATGTCTTAGCTTGTCAGATGGACGAACAAGCCTACCACTTCATATTCCTCGCTGTACCGCACCATTGTGATTGGTTGCCAATCCACCACTCTCGCACATACCGCTTCGGGGCCATTCCCGTGTGTAGACCTCCAAAAGCATGGCATATAGGGCACCCAGGCACTGTTCCTGCAATTAAGTCTAAATTCATTGGTCTCATTGAGTGATTCCCGTGTAACAAACCCAAGGTGCAATCGAAAGTCAACCCAACGTCATCCTCCTCCCTACCTGTTCCCAAACGTCCAAGCATCTCTAGCCACACCAAACCACTCCAGCTCCTCATCTGCCTTCTTTCCACACTGACAACATCCCCCTTCCCTGCTCTCTTCTTCTCCAATCGGCATCATCATCCTCTTCTCCAACCACCTCGCCAATCTCTCATCATCACACCCCGTGACCTTCGCAACCCCCACCCCCCTCACCCCAGTAAACAATTTCAAGACCGAATTGTCCGCCCCGTCAAACATACTCTGCCAAACCTTAACCTGGAGGAACTCCGCACCGGAGAATGCGGCCGTAGCTTGACTGCTGGTAAACCGGGGATCGGTATCTAGCCGTAGCTCAAGCTGCCAGCGCGTGATCTTCGCAATGTTGGTTGGAGACAAGATTGGCTTCTCGGGTAAGGTCAGATGTGGTAGGGCG